AAACTATATCTTGAGGATGTTAAGATAAGTAATTGCAAATTAGTCTTTCTGCTACAATTTTTAAAGTAGCTGGGTTTTTCCCCTTAACTTAACAAAAGGATACTTGTCTAATTAATTCCCCCCAATCCTTCGCCTACTCCATTCAGTTTCACACAGAAAGGAAGAAGGGAATGATGTGTCGACTTTTTACTGAAATATGAATGTTGAGTTCTCTTACAGCCTCCACCTCCCCCAAGCACACACATGTGGGCACACAAGTGGAGTCAGGAAGTGTCTGAGACAAGAAATGGTGAATGCAGCTAGTTGTCTATTCTGCCCACTCTCAATTAAAAGAGAAAAATGGACAAGGAGTATTGGACAGAGAGGAAACACTTTTAGACCTAAACTATTCTGCTCATTTATATGCTGTGCTAATGATTGCTTTTCTCCATCCTAATAAAAAAAAAACTAGAGAATATTTAAGACTCGGTGAACTAATTAAGAAAACTTGTTACCTAACTAATCACCTTGAAGGCAAGTTTCCAAGTAAGTAAAATTGCCTCTACTTTGTCCTTTATCACAAGCTGTAAGGGTCGTCTCTATTGTGCCTCTCAAACATTCAGTAAAAGGAGATAAGACTCTCATCACAATATTTTACTAAAGAACCTGTCTTTACCCACCCTGTGTAAGGCCTCTATTAGCTCCAGTAGCTTGTAAAACATGCTTTGGAGAATTTCATGATGTTATAAATATGTCCATTGTAGAAAAGAGTTACAGCTCACAAATTATATCTGTTATTTAATTATGGAAAGTCATGGCAGACTAACAAACCACAAGTAAACAACATTAGTGCTTCTGACAGGATTTATTCACAATGCAAAGTCTTTTTTTTATGAAAAGGGTTTTCTTTTTCATCTTTATTTTTTGAAAGATTTATTTATATAAGAACCGGGGTACAGGCCAGAGGCATGGGAGGGCGAGAGAATTCACCAGAGACAGAGCTGGGAGCAGAACAGGCAGAACGACTGAAATACACTGTTGAGAGGAACATGGGCGAGACAGAAGAGGTCTGGTGCACCATTTGTGTCACCTCCCTGGCCGGGGATTGAACTCGTGCTGCAGTAGGTGTGGATTGCTTCATGGTGCTGATACTTAAACCCATGTGCCACCAGGGAGGCCCCTAACTTGAAATATTTTTTAAAGTGCATTTTACACTATGAATTTTCTTCATGATTCCATTTTGGGTGCATCTTGCATGTATTTTAATATGTATTTTATTGTCATTCAGTTTTAATTTTTTTATGGTTTCCTCTAAGATTTTCTCATTGGCTATTTAGGGTTGTGTTTTTGGTTTTTAGATGTATGCTTTTGTTTTTACAGTCTTTTTATTCTTGAGTTACAATTTCAACATGCATGTTTAGTTTTTAGTAAGTTTAGAGTTAATAAATAACTACATCATTTCTCCAAACAAAAATAGTGTTTTCAGTGCTTTTACTCCAGTACTTCCTATCACACCACCCACTTTTCTATGTCATGGTTGTAAAGTAGTTTCGGTTTCATTTCTTTAACCCTCCTCCCCTCTACTACCCTGTATATATTCACAGTTACTACACATTTAGATGGCTATATATCTCCACTATTTAAATGAAGGCCTGGCATACAGTGGGTGCTCGAAAGCTATTTATTAAATGAATGTTTACGGCCTCCAGTCTCGTCCAGTCTACCATCTGTTTCCTACACTGCAGAATTATCTTCATATTTATATCTGATCATCTCACTTCCTTTCATAAAACCCTTTGATTTTTAAAAATATTTATTTATGCATACAAGAACTGGGGTACAGGCCAGAGGTGTGGGGGAGATGAGAGGATTCACCAGAGACAGAGTGGGGAGCAGAACAGACCGATTGACTGAAATACACTGCTGAGGGGAGCAGTGGGCAAGACAGAGTGGTCTGCTGCGCCATGTGGGTTAGCTCCTTGGCTGGCCGGGGATGGAACTCGTGCTGCAGAGGCTGCAGATAGCTTCAGAGGCTGCGGATACCTTCACTGTGCTGTGCTATGCTTAACCCCTTGCACCACCAGGGAGGCCCCCTTTCATAAAAACCTTTGATGGTGGGCCTCCCCAGTGGCACAGCGGTTGAGTGCTGGGTTGTGAGGCTGCCCGCGGCCTCTGCAGTGCAGGTTCGATCCCCAGCTGCTCCCCGGCCACCGGAGGAGGGTCCCACATGGCGCGCAGACCTCTCCTGCCTCCCACTGCTCCCCTCAGCAGTGTACTTCGGTCCTTCTGCCTGTTCTGCTCCCCGCTCTGGCTCTGGTGAATTTTCTCGCCCTCCCGTGCTTCTGACTGTACCCAGTGCATGTATAAACAAAACAAACAAACAAACATAAATAAATAAAACATGCCTCTATTAAAAAAAAAAAAAAACCTTTGATGGTATCTCCTTGCCCTTCAGCTATTGCCCTTACCAGGACTTGCAGGGTGTCTGCTGTTTGGCCCTGGCCAATGTCCTTTTCTTCCAGTCACCCTGAACTGCTTTGAATTCTTAGCTGAAGCCAGTCTATCAGCTCAGATGCTTAATATGTACTTTCCCCTCCGCCTGGGATTCTCTTTCTCCCTTTTCAGGTCTCATTTTAAGGGTCATTTTTCTTTCTTTTTTTTTTTTTTAAGATTTATTTATTTATTTATACAAGCACTGGGTACAGTCAGAAGCACGGGAGGGTGAGAGAATTCACCAGAGCCAGAGCGGGGAGCAGAGCAGGCAGAAGGACCGAAGCACACTGCTGAGGGGAGCAGCGGGCGGCAGGAGAGGTCTGCGCGCCATGTGGGACCCTCCATCCGTGGAGGAGCAGCCGGGGATCGAACTGGCACTGCAGAGGCTGCGGGCAGCTTCACAGCCCAGCGCTCAACCGCTGCGCCACCAGGGGAGGCCCTTAAGGGTCATTTTCTAGGGGAGCCTCCTATAACCTCTCAGACTAGCTTAGCTCTGACCAACTGTAATCTTACCTCTTACCTTTCCATATTTCTTTTTTTTAATTTTTAAGTAAACTAGTTTTCGCCTGTGAAATGAAATTGCACCACATAATTCAGGGTGATACAAAACAGTTCTGACTTTTAAAATGTTATTCTATCCTGTCCCTTCTCAGCTCTTGCTGCTTTCTAGCACATCAGCTGCCTCGCCTTCATCGTTTATGCCTAGATCCTTTTCTCAGCTTTATCCTATTTTTGAGTCACTTTCTAGTATGAATTCTCAGGAATAGTATATCTCTGAACCATTTTTATGATTTTTTTTGCTACTCATAGCCTTATTTCCTTGAGTTTTTGGCACACTCTCTTCCTTTGCATTCCATGGCAGTGTTCACTCCTAGTTCTCACATCTGCCTCTACAGCGTCCTCTTTCCTTGTTCTTTCTTATTGTTTGATCCTTTAAATGCTGCATCCTTTGTGATGCTTTCGTAAGCCCTTTTTCTAGCAGGCTGCTTGTGTATCCCCACTGTGCTTTTCATTTTATTATCGAATGTATCAAGTTACATACATCATGTGAGTTCCTTTCTCATCTCCTCCATGGCTGGGTTTGGGTTAATCCTAAAATGAACCCAGTGCAATTTATTTGTACTCATCACACTTGTCATTGATGACCATTTCCTTGAGGACAGGGGCTGTATCTATCTTGTCCACTGATATCCCCTATGCCAAGTACCGTGCCTGACAGAGTGGCTGCTCAAAGAAAATCTTTAAGTGGATTAATGAATAAAAAATACTCTAAACCACAATTTATTTTTGCCAGTTTCCTGGGATCAGCCCAGGAAATTGGCCTAAGTGACCCATCAATTCATTCACTAGACTGCAACCACAGTAACATAAAAAAAAATCCGATGATGTTTTCTTCTCCAAACCTCTGCTGTCTTCCCATTACCTAGACAAAGTTCCTCAGCTTTAATCCAAGGTTCTGGCCCCAACTTCCTGTTTGAAACCTTTCTAGGTTTACTTATTAACTGCTTATTATAGGCCAAGCACTGGGCTAATCACTACAGTTCACAAGCCAGTTGAGAAGACAGGGACCTAGATTAACATTAATAGGGCATCATCAACTCTATTAGTCTGTGAGAACACAGATAGTTTCAGACACTGGCTTATAAAACATTAGGCTTTTGCCCTCTGTAGGTTTACAGGTTTGGTCTGTAACTACCATGTCCAATACGGTGGCCACCAGCCGCATTTCAATGTGTAACAGCCACCTGAAGATAGTGGCTGTCACATGGGACAGCACAGCACAGACCATTTCTGTCAGCCACAGTAGCGGGGCTACAGAGACAGCAACACACATCCCCTGAGCTGCTAGGTACCAATCCCACCCCCTGACCCAATTCTCATACTCTTCCCGCCTTGGCTGGGATGTATTTTGAAGTATCACAGGCTCCCCAACAGAGAAAATGTGTGAAAGTACTTTTGCAAACTTTTAAGTTAGTCAGAAATGTGATATATGAAATATTCAGTCATTGCTTTCATCACAGCTCCAGTTACTTCAAGGAAATTGTAGTTCTTTTTTTTGAATTTTTCCCTTTCCAGGAATATGCCAGAGAATTCTGGAGGGTATATGTTCTGTACAACCAGTATTTATACTAGATAAAAACCCAGATGACACCTACCTTGATGCTTTTATAAGCCATCCATTCTGAACCCTACTTCACCACCCTCCTTTTTATTTTTTTTTTATAGAGGCATGTTATTTATTTATTTGTTTGTTTGTTTGTTTTGTTTATACATGCACTGGGTACAGTCAGAAGCGCGGGAGGGTGAGAGAATTCACCAGATCCAGAGCGGGGAGCAGCGGGCGGCAGGAGAGGTCATGTGGGACCCTCCTCCGGTGGCCAGGGAGCAGCCGGGGATCGAACTGGCGCTGCAGAGGCCGGGCAGCTTCGCAACCCAGCGCTCAACCGCTGCGCCACGGGGGAGGCCCACCACCCTCCTTTTTGAACTGTCACTTTCTCTAGAAAGGAAAGACACGAAGTAAGATTTCTAAAACAACAAAATATTTATTTTGAGAAAAGAATTATGGGAAACCTAAGTAATAGGAATTGGACCCTCATCGGGGTCTTCTGGGAAATCGGAAGCACCACCCTCTTCTGCAGCTCGATGCTTCTCCAGTTTAGCAATCAATTCTTTCGCTGGATTGAAGACGCCATTGGTCTGCTGGTCACAGACATAGCAGCGAGGGGTGGTACGGAAATGCTGCAGCGCACACTTCTCACAGAAATAATGCCTGCACTTGGTGACAACTGGGTTTTGGAAGGTCTGGCGACAGATGAAACACTTGAATGGTATTTCCTCATCATCGCTTCCCACTTCATAGTTTTCATCCTCATAGACGCCATAGCGACCCTCATCAAGCTCACGTTCGATCTGCCACCCATGCTTGTAATCTGAACGGTCATGGAGGAATTTGCAGCTGTCACCGAAGCCGCAAAAGCCTGTCTCCTTGTAGTCCTTACAAATGTCGGGCTGGTAATCCCAGCGCACGGTTGCACGTAGATGCTCCGGAGCGCGGATGGGGCCCTTCCTCACCATCCCGGAGGACGCATTGCCCATAGATGTATCCTTGGGCTTCATGTATTTTTGGTAATTATTTATTCCCCGATAGATCTTGTCATCTTCCTTGCCCCTCAGCTCCTCCTGGATCTTCTGGCTGCGCTCAAAGATGGCTTGTGCGTCACGTTCCTTTTCAGTGTCTAGCTCGTACACGGCGGTCGCTCCCATGTCCTCTGGCCCCACGGGTTTGGCGGAACGGGTGGACTTGTAGACTACGCCAAGACTCTCGGGCTCCTGCTCCTCCTCGCTACTCAAGTCGCCGTAAGCCGCCTTCAGTTTGCCACTGCCTCGGGTCTTCTGTATCATCGGATTGTGGATCGCCCGCTTCTTCTCCGGGCGAACTACGGTGCTGCCTTCGTCGCTGCTGCTACTGCTGTCTCCGGACTCTGTGTCGCAGACCCGGCGCTTTCTGCGGCCCGCCGCCCCTTTCCGCCCAGGCTTTTTGAAGAGGAAAGTGCATACCTGGTCTGTGGACTTTCCTGGGGGAAGCTGCTCTGCCATTTTCGGGTTCCGAGCTGCGGGGCGGCGGCGGCGCGCTTGGTCGCGCGGGGCTGCTTCGGGCCACCACGCGCCGGGCGCCGGCTAGGCCGCGAGTTGGGAGTAAGCTAGAGAGCGGAGAGGAGCCCGCGGCGCGCGCGTGAGCGACACCAAGTGCGCGCCCCTTCTGAGCCCTGCCGGGCCCCGTAGTTTCCCGCGGAGACGTGCGTGACGTCGCCCCTTTCGCCGGCTGCCGCGCTGCACCCCGGGAAGGAACCGAAGCCCGGTCACCTTTCAGGCGTCGGCACCGGCTTGGATCCGAGGCGGCGGAGTCGCGATGTGGTTCGAGATCCTCCCCGGGGTCGCCGTGATGGGCGCGTGCTTGTTCATCCCCGGAGTGGCCACCGCCTACATCCACAGGTTCTCCAATGGGGGCAAGGTGAGGCGGCGGCTTCCGCCCGGCCGCGGAGCCCTCGGGGAGCCGGCGCTGGGCTAGGGGAGCCGTTAGGCTGGCCGCCCTTGCCTTTCTTCTTGTGACCTAAAAGCGGAGGCTGGCGAATGAGGGCGGAGGGAAACCACGGTCCGCTCGGGCTAGAAACGGCTAGTTGCTGGGGCGGAGGAGAGGGGCGAGAGAGCAGCACAGAGATGCCAGGGGTTGCCGGGGACCAGCCTCCGGCAAAATGTCGTGTCAGGGTTCCTGAAAGGATGAGACGGCGTTGGCGAATACGAATGATCTGAAACTTAGGGACTGAGGGGAAGGGAATGAGGAGACACTGACACTTTGTGAGGTGTTAGTATTTTCTGCGGAATGGCTCAGCAGGTTTTTTATTTATACGTTTTTTGCAAGCATTGAGATTACATTATCAAGTTTATAGAAACAAAGCAGAAACAATTAGTGCATCTCCTTTTCCGTGCTCTCAGCAAAAAGGCAACCTTCAAGGTTAATAAAAAACTAAGCCTTACACTAAAATTCATTGTTTCAGTTAAACAATAACCTAAGACAATTGATAGCCACCAGAACATCCCCATCAGCTAAAGCCTAAGTAAAGAAAGAACTTTTCTTATTCTCATGGCCTTCACACCAGGGGCCAGCTGCTACTCAGCTATCAGAACGTTCTTTACCTAGAAACTCCTTAACTCAAATAGCTTTATTTAAAAACTTTCCCAAGAAACTTCAAGAGAAGGCAAAAGAAGGACCCACTGTAATTATTGAATTGTAATGCTTGTCAGGCATGTTCAACAAACCATCTCCCATTGTCAAGTGGGCCAAACTGCCCAACAACTAATTTTTAAACAAACAATTTTCTGTGCTATTTACTTACAATATGCTGATACATATAATTTATTGCCTAATATACTTTCTGATAAATTTTTTTCTTTCTATGACCAAGAACAAAAAGCAAAGGGATGCCAGATCTTCAGCCCCATGGTGTGAGGCCTTTTCTCTTTGCTGCTTGTCAGTATTCTATCTGGCTGGAGCAACAAGGCCTCCTGCAGCAAGGGGTGCAGAGATCGGCGATGAGAAGAGGCAGGATCCAACCTCTGGCGGAGGAGAGGCGCCACTTATGTCGCCCCCACTGCCTGCGACCGCTAATCTTCTTTCTTGACGGATTTTCCTTTCTCCCATCCCCTTCTCGGTAGCTTCTCGTTCGATAGGGTTTTCCCTACATTCTCCCTGGCTCGTCTCCCCACCCCACCCCCTTCTCTCTCACGCCTTTAGGAATTTGCTGCAAGACCCTGTTTTGCACACTGAGCTGTCATCCCACGCCCCATTCACCCCCCCACCCCGCTTCCTAGCTCTTCACATCATCTCTAAAGTACAGAGTATAAATTTATTTGCTTTCTGATTTTGTGATTGTCCTTCATGTGTGAACTACCGCTGATTCTGGTCAGTAGCATCCCCAAAGGACAAATACACAAGTCTTTAAAAACATTTTTTTTAAGGTGAGAACAATACACTGGTGCTTGTTGAAATAAGAAGCGTAAGAACTCATGCTTTCCTTATTAATCTGTAGTTTAATGATCCGATTTTATTTGGGATTCTAATCTTAAATTGTTTAATTTGGCTTTTATTCTAGTAGTGTTTATGCTTTCCTAGAGTGTCATTTATAAAAGTCCTAACACCCCTCTTTTGGATCATACATTATAAACTGCAGTGATTATTTCTTTTCATTATAGGAAAAAAGGATTGCCCATTTTTCCTATCAGTGGAATTTGATGGAAAGAGACAGGCGCATCTCAGGAGTTAACCGTTACTACGTGTCAAAGGTAAGAGGGTTCTGATGCTTCCTGAGGTGGGTTCTGGTACCTTTGTACCAGGTCTCATGGTGCTAATTTGGTTTGTTGTTTCTTGTCTACTGGGGAGGTGGAACAGCATTTTGCATATTTCATGATTATTTGTATTTCTTATTCTGTGGGTTGTTGCTTTGTACCCTTTACTTGTTCCATTTTTGTCTTTTTTGATTTGTAGTTCTTTGTACATTATAGATATTAAATGTCTATTTTATATGTGGCCACTATTTTTCCCAATCTGTCTTTGACTTTGTCTTCCATGAGATCATATTTTTGTAATTTTGAAGTTCAGTTTATCATATATTACTGATCTGGATTTTGAATTCAATGACTTGCTTAAAAAGGAATCTCCTTACTTACAATTTTTCCAAAATACTGTTACAGTTTATTGCTCTCTCCCCTTTTTTTACATTTAGTACTTTGATCCATGTACCTGTTATTCTGGGGTATAATGTGAAGCAGGTTTATAACTTTACTTTTTCCAAGAGGTAACCAGCTGTCTCAATTAACCATTTATAGAAGAGTCCATTTTTTTATTTGAAACAGCACTCTAGTCAACTAAATTTCCATACACACACAGGTCTGTTTCATGACTGCTCTGTTGTACTTCATTGGTTTGCCAGTTCTTGCACCAGTATCATATGTAAAGCATTACTATAATTTTATATTTTATCATGCTTAGTTGCTGTTTTTACAGCTCCAAAATGGCCAAGTATTAGCATTTTCATATGGCTTAACAGTATGTTATCTCTTATAGTTCATACTCCTTCTTTTAAAACTTTACTTTTTTATATTTTCTGCTTGTTTATTTGTTCTTCATGGTGAACCTAGGTAAACATTAATTCCATTTTATAGGTGAGAAAACGGAGGGTCCAAGTGATTAAATAATACTATATAGCCTTGACCTAGGTCACTTGCTTCTCAATATATAGTGCTATTTGATAATTTAATGTGATAATGGATATCTACTCATTTAGAAAAGTAGTTCTCAGAGTATGAGCCAAGAATTATGGTCAGTATCATCTGGCACATGGGATAAAATGCACATTCCTAGGTCCCTAGCCAGACCAAATGAATTAGAGCTGTGCAATTTTAAATTTCTCACATAGGCGATTTTTTTTAATATTTTTTTTTTATAGAGGCATGTTTTATTTATTTATTTGTTTGTTTGTTTGTTTGTTTGTTTATACATGCACTGGGTACAGTCAGAAGCACGGGAGGGTGAGAGAATTCACCAGAGCCAGAGCGGGGAGCAGAGCAGACAGAAGGACAGAAGTACACTGCTGAGGGGAGCAGCGGGCGGCAGGAGAAGTCTGCGTGCCATGTGGGATCCTCCTCCAGGAGCCTGGGAGCAGCCGGGGATCGAACCGGCGCCGCATAGGCCGCGGGCAGCTTCGCAACCCAGCGCTCAACCACTGAGCCACCTGGGAGGCCCCATAGGCGATTTTTTACAATAGTAAACAAAATACCTGTACTGTTTGACACCTGGAGTAAATGTTATCACTGATTAATCTTTTAATTTATAGCTTTTGAAGTTTTTGGTTGTGAACTAAGATAGGATGGGTCTTTGAAACAGTGTCGTGTTTACAGGTTCTGGAGTTGGGGGGTCCCTATCTTGAATGCTGGCTCTGCTATTTGCTGACTTCAGCAAAAGACTTGTAACTTCTCTCAGCCTTCATTTCTTCATCTGTAAAAAAGCAGAGTGAGAGTACATAGTATCTTCTTCATGTTGGCTTTATTTTATAAAAGTTTTTCCTTATTGCCCTCTCTCTGAGGGTGCATTAAAGTGATATATGTTTGTTGCTGTCAGAAAATGAAAACTGGAAATCAATATAGATTATTCTTTTTACTTTAGTTATTATAAAATTTAGTTCGGTTTATTGTTAAAGTGAGAGAAATGAGGGATGTGAAAGTACTTTCTTTAATAACTGCGAATGCCGTTTGGGAACACTGAGGATGAAAGTACATGTACATCTTTGACGGGAACACAATTCTCACATTCTCCTTTTTAAACTGTTTTTCAGGGTTTGGAGAACATTGATTAAAAGAAGCAGTTTCCTGATTGATGAAAAATAACTTATGCACATCTAACCCTACTAGAAAATTCTGCACTACGTTAGGTAGCATGGCAAATATATTATGTAATGCTTAATAAAAATAAAATGGAAAAGTTAAAAAGTTTTCTTTATTTTTTAAAACAATACTACACTTGATCAAGAAATCTACCTAGTGTAAGCTTCATCACCTTAAAAAATCAAAAAGGCAGTTGAGGCTTGTAAAATTATAGACATAATGTACGCCAAGTTCCTGTCACTGTGCCTGGCACCTGATATGTCAGAAATGGTATTTGCTATTATTATAACAGATAATATGTTGAAAAACATTGCATTCTGCATTGTATTTAACACAAACTATCTGCTTGAGTGGTGATTTTCTTATAGTGTAGAGCAATAATAATCATGCTTATTAAAGTGAGTATAAATGGAGTTGCATGTTCAGCGCTAAAGATAACCACATAAATGAAGATCTGAAAAGCTGTAAGTATTGTAATAATGGTGATATTGCATGTACATACACCCCAGGTGACAAAAGGACCTCTAGGTGAGAAAGTGAAATTGCTTTTCATCTCATCTTTTATCCAATTTAACATTTGATCTACTGATGATCTGCAACACCCCTTCACTGTAGTTTCAGTTGACCTTTCAGGACAACTTGAGAAGAAGGAGATAGCTCTCATTGTGCCACTTCCTAGGATGAAACTGTGCAAGGAAGGCCATGGTCAGGATGATAAACTTTTTTTTTTAAGATTTGTTTATGCATACAAGCACTGGGGTACAGGCCAGAGGTGTGTGTGTGTGGAGGGGTGAGAAGATTCACCAGAGACAGTGTGGGGAACAAAACAGGCAGATGGACTGAAATACACTGCTGAGGGGAGCAGCGGGCGAGTTGGGAGAAGTCTGCTGCCCCATGTGGGTTGCTCCCTAGCTGGCTGGGGATTGAACTCGTGCTGCAGTGGCTGCGAACTGCTTCATAGGTTGTGTCTTAAACCCTTGTGTCACCAGGGAGGCCCCAGGATGATAAACTTTCTGTAACCTGCATTCTATTTCAAGATACACAAAAACTATACTGAAATGAATAGGGAAGGCAGGTGGCACAGCTAGGGAGCCTTGGATACAGAGGATGAACTGATATCACTAGATCTATTTTAACTTTTAGGTCTGTTATCACTTCACTTTGCCTCTAGGTGGGGATCATCCACCAAGTTGCTCTCCTTTGATGAATGGCAGGACTGTATAGTGAGAGGCTACAGAATAACTGGAGGAAATCAGGTTCAGCATTAGGGTTCAAATTATTCAGCTCCTTATTTGTGGTAGCTGCTCTGAATTTTAGCCTTATTTTTTTTAAAAAAAGATTTTATTTATTTATTTATACAAACACTGGGTACAGTCAGAAGTGCAGGAGGGTGAGAGAATTCACCAGAGCCAGAGTGGAGAGCAGAGCAGGCAGACTGACGAAACACACCGCTGAGGGGATCAGCGAGTGCGGCAGGAGAGGTCTGCGCACCATGTGGGACCCTCACCTGGTGGCCGGGGATCCAGCTGGCGCTGCAGAGGCTGTGGGCAGCTTCGCAACCCAGTGCTCAACCGGTGCACCACAGGGGAGGCCCATTTAGCCTTATTTTTATGTGCAACTCCTGGGAAGTGAACCAGATTAAAACTCAAGGTAGAAGATGATAGTGGTGCTTTGTAGCCGAATTTCTCTTGATTTTTTGCAAATGCTATTAGCCAGAAAGGTTTTCTTACAGTAGCTCTGACAGGTGTGGTCCAGTCATTGACCTTGGGTCACTTACTCTTAAGACCAGTTGAAATGATGTTTGGGAAACAATGCCATTCCTTTGGTTTTATTATCTGTCTTTTATTTTTTAAATAGCTCCAAAAATCCAAATAAGATATTCAGTGAAGAGACTTGCTATATTCCCTTGCACAGCACCTGCCTCATTGCCACACCACCTTGAAGGGTTTCCTTATGTAAAATATAAATGTTCTTCTCTCTTGCATAATGTAATATCAGACACATACTGTTTACCTTTATGCCACTCATTTGAAAGTATGGTTCCTGTTTGCAACTATACCAGGATGCTATAGTTATTTCAATGGCCATTTATTTATTTGATATAGTCAATAGGAAAGGATTATGAAAGAGGTTAGAGGAAGCCGTGCACATTAAGAGGAGGGAGAAGGGGATGGCTCTGCCCTTCAGGAAACACCTTTAAGTGGCATGTGTATGAAAAAAGAACATTCGAGAATAAGCAGTTCCAACTTAGAAGGACCCTTAGACATTTAGTAAAATCCTTAATCTTTAGAGGAGTAAACAAAGGTTCAGGGATGGAAAGCGATCATTTAGCCAGCTAGTGGCAGAACTGGACTGCAACTCTGGTGTTTTGACTGACAACCTAGAGTACTTTTAACTGCTCTTTGTGGTGCACATCCAACACTGCTGAGGAAATGCCATCCACTGTGCCTCCTGAATAAGTCATAGCCCTGCCTTTGAGTTGCTCACAGTGGGAGTGGCAGACAATTATAGGATCAGGTGGGCCTTCACCCAGCTTTGCATTAGGGGGAAGGGGAAGGATTTAGGGTACATTTCCAGGTGATTCCCACACTAAGCCATCTTGAAGGTTGGGTTGGATCTAGGAAATAAAAGGGGGGCAGGGCACATCCCACACAGAAAGACCTATAAGCAGTTCTGCAGAACTAGAGCAAAGAGGCAGCAAGGAGGGGGCAAAGGGACTGGAGAGGTAGTCAGGGCCCAGAAACTGAAGGACCTTGTATGTCTCCTGGCTTCCTTGGGGTACAGAGGGCTGCTGGGAGCTTCTGCAGGGCAGGAAGCAGGGGAGTGAGGTGGCCATTGGAGACATCTGCTTGGCTGCTGGGCAGAAGAGTGAAAGCAATGGGTTGCAATCAGGTAAGTTTGCCCCCAGGGTACATTTGAAATGTTTGTAGTCATTTTTCATTGAGGCAACAGGAGTAGTTGGGGAGGTTCTGCTGACCTCTAGTGGACAGAGGGCAGCAATGCTTGTAAATGTCCTATAAGGCCCAGGACAGGCCCTCATGACAGTTTGACGCAGGCCCAAATATCAATAGTGCTGAGACGGAGAAACCCTGAAAAATAACAGACTATCGAGAAACACGCCGAGAGGAGTATATGGGAGCAATTCCCCTTCTTCCTACTCCTGGTTCTTTTTTCATTCAAGTTCAGATGCTGGGTTCGCCTTCGGCTCATCTGTGAACCTGAACTTCACTTATTTTCAAGGTAAGGGGATGACAGGGTATGTTTAAGGGCCGAAGCTGAGAGGAGTGAAAATGACGGGACCGCAGTGGTATGGATTACCGTTCAAGGCCCAGGCTTTAGCTCTGGTCTCACTTCCTGTGCTCCCTTCCTCAGTCTCACCCTCCAGTTATCCTCAATTTGGGAAAAGGCTCACAGTGAGATCTTTGTGGTCTCCCAAGCAACTCTCTATAGTAAGTGCCGTGTCCTGGGAACACAGTTGCCCCCGACTCCCACAGGCCATGGAGGGGCCTGCCCTCTGTGTCCCAGACGGGCCGTCGTGGGGCGGGCAGGGCTGGGCAACTGCTGCCCACCCCCCACCCCCACCCCCACCCCTCCCCCCCCCACCCCCCACCCCAACCCCCCCCCCCGCGTCTCCCGGGGCGACGGACGCACTCCCCCTGGTGGCGGCCCATGGGGGGTGGGGCCAGACCCACGCGGGGCCGTCCCGGGTTCTGGGGCATCTTTGCGCAGCGGTCCCTCATTCTGGCAGGTGAGCAGGGGCGCCCCGCGGCAGCACGCACAGGAAGCCAGGGCGGGCGCCCGAATGCGGGAGGCGCGTGGAGGGGCAGAGATGTGGGCTCGGGGCGGGGTGACTTGCCCGCCCCGGGAAGTAGGGAAACGCGGGTTCTCCCCTCTCCTCCACACACACCCCCTCCACCCCCCAAGTCCCGGCTTCCAGGCCTCCTGGCCACACTCCCTGCACCGCGGAGAGCGCGCGCAGCCAGTAGGGCGCCGTTGGGAAGATCTTGTCCTCGGTGCTGCCTGAGGGTTCAAAAGGCCTGGGGCCAGAATTTGCTGCTTCAGTGAGGGCCTTGGCTGGGGGTAGGAGGTAAAGTTCTGGCCTGGGGAGTTTAAACTCTTGCTTCAAAGAAGGAGCTGTTCTAATCGGCTGGGCAATCTCTCCTGGCTCCCCCCACCACGGCGTTTTGCCTACAAGGGGTTTCTCATGGCTTGTCTGCATGTTCTCCTCTGGGCAGTTCAGAGCTCCAGGCCTGCCCTCCCTGCCAGGTCCTCACTCTGGCAGAGCTCTCACCCGTGGCCCCTGCGGCTTCTTAGCTGAGTTTTGCTGCCCTTGCCCACAAAAGCTTGACAAGGAGAAAGGTGGAGCTCAGCAATTTTGGATCGCCACCACTGCGACTGCCGGGCCTGTGTTTCTGTTTTCCACCCCAGAGAAACACAGCCTGCGCCCCCTGCCCCCAACCTGGAGCACTTGGTTCAGTACCTGCTGTGACACTAGGAGGTTCAGAGCATGGGCTGTGTGGGAGTCAGACCAGAGAACAGAAATGAGGCCCTTCGGGGTCATCACAGTAAATAGCCTCGGTGGGTCTGGAGCCGGCGCTCTCCCCCACGACAGGGACCACACAAGGCCTCCTCCTGGCTTGGCTGCTGAACGAATATGGGGCCTAACCAGTGAGAGCTCAAGACACACTGAACAACTATTCTGGCAAATTCTCCCAGCTTGAAGGGGGTGATGGGGCTCCCTCTAAATTTTCTACGTTTTGATTCTGTCTGTTGTGGTTAGTCTCTTCATCATCATGAGTGTGGTGACTCACGTTTTGAGAGCACTTGGAGTGTGCCTGTCATTGTGTTGAGTCCCCCGTATGAACAACCTTACTTCATCTTCTTACTGACCTGATGAAGTGATTCCTATTAAGATCCCCCTTACACGTGAGGCTCAGGGAGGTGAAACAAGTCACAAGGCAGCATGTGGCAGTGTTGGAATTTGAAACCCTCTGTCTGCAATCAGAGTCTGAGTTCCTCCAACGAAAGCCACACTGCCTGTTGCCTACACTGCCCATTGCCTTCTTCCTTCCCAAGCCCCTTCCCCTATCTCACTACACCAGCTCAGCAGAGTCTCTCTGGGGGTGGGGTGGGATCTGAAATAAATGAGGTGTCTTCCAGGCAGAGAGCTCAGCACTTCATTTTGGATAAAGAGGACACTTAGCTAAGCACTTTCCTTTCTTTGTTGGGAGTGAGCTCAATTGTCTGGTGGTGAGAAACCACCACTCCATATACACAGCACAGTGTTTGATGACGGGTTCTGAGACTTGGGCATTTCGTGGATTAATAAAATTAATAAAATAACACTGGGGTCTAACATAGGGACAACAACTTTTGACTTCACTACTTAAAAGAACGCTCTAGGGCCTCCCTAGTGGTGCAGGAGTTAAAGTCTCAGCACTATCAAGCTATCACCAGCCAGTGGGGCATGAGTTCCATCCCCGGCCAGGGAGCTAACCCACATGGTGCAGCAGACCTCTCCTGTCTTGCCTGCTGCTCCCCTCAGCAGTGTATTTCAGTAGATTCACCTATTTCTGTGCCTTTTCTGCTCCCCACTCTGTCTCTGGTGAATCCTCTCATCCTCTGCACCTCTGGCCTACAACCCAGTTCTTGTATGCATAAATAAATAAAATAAATCTTATAAAATAAAAGAACACTATATTACTACTACTTCTACTAGAAATAATACCTAACTATTATAGAGAGAGCTGATAATATACACGGTGCTATTCTCAGTCATCACATGAATTATCTGATTTGATCCTCATAAAAAAAAATCCTACCCTATGGGCATTGTTATTATAGTGAAACTCAAATTAAGAGGCAGTTTGCTGAAAGCCATTTCATAGATAAGGAACCGAAGAGGAACATTACATAAATTGTTTCTGAGTCTATGTGGATAATCATTCTAATTTCTTGTAATCCTTGATTCATAAAAGACACCTTTGAAAACAATCAAGCAAACAGGGAAGTCCCCATTAAGCATTTGGGAATAAATAAGTAAAGAACCAATGAGGTTAGATCACTCTGGGTTTGAGTTTTGGGAAACTTATTTAATATTCTCTGTGCTCAGTTTGTTCAGCTGTAAATGAAAATATTAATACCCACCTCATGGTGCTATTGTGAGGAGTCAGTGACTTAACACATGCTGAGTCAGTGACTTAATATAGTGACTGGCAGAGAGTAGGGACCCCAGTACATACCAGCAACTCCTCCCAGCACAGAGCTCCAAGCCCATCTCCTCCTTCGGGTGGAAGCTGGGTATGGAATCTGCGGGCTCCCCCTGTCATTGAGATCCAACTGTTGCTGTGACAGACTCCTCTCCATCACTCAGCTGTCTCCCATCTCCCACTCTTTGGCTGAACTGAAGCAGCAGATATATTTGGACTTTACTTCCCATTGGTTGAAACTGTTGTCATGGCAGCGCTTACAAACATTCCTTCTGGAAACTCTGGAAAACAGATGCTTACAGGCCTCTTGTGGGGTTTCTAAAGAAGGATCTGCTCACTCAGGTACGGGTGTTGTTAAGGGTGTTAAGGCTGCTCACAAAAAGCATTCGTGGTGGTTTTTCCCATTCATCACCTAAATCCCAAACTTGACCATATTCCTGACCCTTCCTACCCATTCTGTCACTTGGAGGGGAAGGAGAGAAAAGAAGCTAGGAAAAAGGGAGAGTTGAGTGATCTATCCCCACAAAAATGCGAGGATAAGACCTGAGCTGCTTCCTGAGTCTTGCTTCCTCACCCTCTTTCTCTCTCCCGTTGGACCACAGGGAAGATCTTAAGGAGCTCCTTCCCTGGATAAAGTCCCAACCCCAATGCTTGCGAGGTGATGGAAGTTACAGATTTGGCTTCCAGTCAATTTATCAAGAAGCAATTTGCTGAAAGCCAAGTCCTTGAATGACCAAGTCACCAAATGGGCCATTCTGGCCCATTGAAGGCCCAATTTGAAGGATCAAAATGCTATATGGTTAACTCACCAAAGCCTACCAAATTTACTAATTAAAACAAAACAAAACTCTGCTGTTGTTGTCTTTAATTACAGAGTTTACAGTAAATCACTTTGGCCAAACTAGCATGGCCTTCGGGCTGGGGAGAGCCAGCTCAATTAAGGGCTAAGGGCCTTCAGACTCCTTCCCCGCCTACCATCTAGGATGTGCAACCTGGAAGGTTCCTTTTGCCCCCTCACTGTACCCACCCCCAGGCTGCAGCAACATGCTGATTTGAAGACCCCAATGAGCACGAGTCACCATTATTACTGGCATGCTGCTCAAAGCATCCCAAGGCGCCGCACAGCCTTGTTCAGCATCCACCACACTGGGGCAGACGATGGTGTCCAGGAGGGGTACACAGGGCGACCCTACTTAGAAGAGGCTCCCAGAAAGAAAGTGAGCACATTTTGGACTCTAGGTATAAATGTGAGACTAGAGCCCCACAACTGTTTTGTGACTCCTGGATGGAGGAGAGCAGTGCAGTTAAGAGCACGAGTTGTGGAGCGAGACACTCTGTGTGTGAGCTTGGCCTCCTCTTCTCACAGGGTAGCAAGCGTGCCTCTCAGCTGGAAACTGCTGGCATAGTAAAATTAGCACAGGTTGAGACAGGCTAAGGAAAGGTGGGGGCAGGCAGCAGTGAAACAAGGCCAAGGGCAGCTTCCCGGGGCTAGGAATACTGGGCCAGAGGGCTGAGGGGAGAGAAAGCTTGCCCTTACCAAACAGAGGAGTTGTGAGTGGGCCGCCCTGCGAGAAGAGGGGGCCTTCTCCATGGAGGTGACCTGGTGAGGGGAGCCTCCTCAGGGGAATGTATTTCCCAGCCTCACTCTTCTCCCTTCAATATGGTCTCCCCCTTGTGTGGGACCTCCTGGAAGCCAGAAGGCACAGAGAGCTCATTGAGCTGTCCAGTCAGGTCAGCCTTCTGGGGCAGAGAGTAGGGGGAGTGGATCTGGAAAGGCAAATGAAAGGTATCCAGTGAACAGAAGATGGGTGGGGGGGTGGAGGTGTCAATGAAACAAGGCACATTAAACCCCCTCAGTGGGGAGTTGCTATTGTAGAAAAATAACCCCCTCTGGAGAGAGACCTGTTTTCATACAGCAACCCCAATCAATGCAAGGGATTTATAATTGCTAGAAAGAAGTGATTTCTCATTAGTGAAGAGACTTAACTAGTAGCAGGGAAGGAGAGAGAACGCAAAATTCAGGGCAAAGATGTAAAAAAGATGGACCATGTGATGAACCTTGTTCACAACCCCAATAACTCTAATTTTCACAATCTCAATCAATATTAAAATAAGCATTGGGAAAATTGTAGCTATCTACTATAAACATCTTACGAAAACAGCAGCAGATAAATATTTTCTTGATCTGATAAATCTCAAACCCTAAACCAGCATTCTCCGTATAGAAGGAAGCACGGCACAAAGGCAGGCTGCTCACTATGAGACACTTTCACTTCGCGCTTTTCTGGAAGTGTTAATCAAAGTTCATACTTAAAAGAGTGATATATTTCAGGAAAAGAGATGGTAAAAAAAGAAAAAAGATAGTTTCTGGCAGAGGATGTAATCATATATCCGGAAAATCTAAGCCACCTCCCAAAAAATGAACTGAAAAACCAACGCCACTTTTGCTGAATTGCCTCAGATCTTTTTTTTTTTGTTTGTTTGTTTGATCTGTAAAGAGCCTGGTGACTTCAGTTTTGTAAGGCAGGAATTGGGGTTCTGTTAAAGACTCAACTGGAAGTCAACCTTGTTAGAATTTGAAAGAAGTTAGGAATTATTCTACATCTTGACTCAATTCTTCATGGTTAGGAGAATCTGAAAGGCCTTGATTTTCAGGCAAAGTAGATCTTAGCAGTCAGGCCTGAGGGCAAACGTGAGGCCTCACTGCTACCTCAGTACTATTCTTCTCCCTTGAGGCAACAACATCTGCTTTCTGCCTTAGGGTCTTCAAGAGCTAGTCTGTCCTTACGTGGATGCAGCCATGTGCACACACATGTACACACACATGCGCACACTCACACACAAAGTAACTTCTTGAGTGTTTTATTTTCCCCAGGGAAAAGAAAATGAAGAAAACAAATATGTCTAAGAGAGTCCGAATTATGGAAACACTGGATATGTATAAACATTCTACAAGGCAGATGACAAGAAAGGACAGAGACGCCAGCAATGTGACTGAACTAGCTCTACATTTAGTTCAAAGTGTCATCGATGCAGCTGTTACGTTTGTGGAAGGTAGTAATCCTGTTGGTACCTAAAAGATTTTCTCCTTATGTAAGGCCGCACTACCAGGCAACTAATCATTTCATATCTTGTTTGCAGAAGCTAAAAATCCCATCAAAAATATCAAATGGATCACTCATGGTGCATTCACAGCCGAAAGGGGCCGTAGAGAAATCGAGAGGTTCATTTTGGTAAGCTCGTTGGCCACTCCCGCCGGGCACAGAAGGGTAAAAAATACTAATTTGACAAAAGGGGTAAAGTTCAGAAACACTAGGAGATAGTATCACAGGCAACCAGAATAAATAAAACATTTTCCTCATTTGGGTTCCAAACTCATGATGGGAGAGTCTTTGAAGGTGGAAAGCACAATCACATCCCCGTGTCTGTATCATCCTAACCTTATATTTCCCTAGGAAACGCTGATATTCCCAGTTAAGCAATTTCCCCATGTTGGTGTTTTCATGGAGGCCTGGTGACCTAAGAAGATGTTGCCCCAAAATAAGCTCTCCATCACTGATTTTGAATGGTCATATTAACAGAGGATGGGGAGGGATCAAAAGTCTTTTTACTTTAGCTTTGAATATTCTGCCCGCACACTAAGATGTCCATGCCTGTGAATTTCTTTTTACTTTTCCTACTGTGCTTGGCTCTAACCCTAGAAGCTTTGGGGAGAGGGCCTTGGGTTGCTTTGAATAATTGGTGAGGTGGGTAAAGAATGATTTGAAATCTCTTCTTGTACTTCCACAGAAAAGAGGCCAGTTGAAATCAGTGGAGGGAAACTCCCCCAGTTCTGGGAGAAGTGCCCTGCTCTCTCTGTGCCTCTGGCCAGTTCATCAAAACTTATAGCCCCAAGGCAACTTGTTAGGCCCTAGGAAAGTGGCATGTGGGAATGAGAAAGGTTAGGTTTTTTTGGCTCCATACCTTCTCTGTCCCCTAGCAGGCAGAACTCACCATACCCATTACAAGGGGTATCTAGTACATAGTGAAGAGGGGTGCCATGAAGCCCTACTTGCTCTTGGGCCTCTTTGCTCTGGAGCATATCTCCAGACATGCTGTATCCAGGGTGTGTGAATCAGAGTGCAATGGGGCACAGAGTAAACAGGAAAATATTCCCCCTGAAAATTCCAGAGGCTATTCTGAGTAAAAAGCAAAACTAAGTCCTGACAATGCCTGGATATACTCTGAGTCTCTCCTCCCTCCCAATTTACTGCTTAGACTCCACTACCTACTATCTTCTCCCCTTTCACCTTCCTCACTCCAGCCACACCTGCCGACTGCTATTCCCTCTGCTTGGAACCCTCTCCCCTGAGAACTATTTTCCTGGTTCATACCTCACCTCTCTTCAGGTCTTTGTTAAGATGCTACCTGCTCATTGAAGCCTTTCCTGACCAGCTCATCTAAAATTGCAACCCTCTCTCCTTCTCTGATTTATTCTTCCTTTAGTACTTAGTTCTACCTGAGATACTAGGTTTTACATATTTACCTTACTACCTTTCTTCTATAACCAGATCGTATGTTCCATGAAGGCAGAGACTTGTGTTCACTGCTCTGTCCCCAGTCCCTAGAAGGGTCAGGTAGACAGCTGATGCTCTACAAATATGTGTTGAATATATGAACAGATTCTCTCCATGCCATTATTTCTTCACAGATGAAAAGTTAGATGAAAGTATTAGTCTTATCTACTTTGCAGGGCTCATGTGATGATAGAGATGATTGGAGAGCAGAAGGGGACTGAAAAGCTAAATCTATATAAAGCCTGGCATAAAATCATCCTGTTCCCAGCCCCATTGAGCCTTAGAAGTGAAGTCTATGACCTAAGTTCCAGGCATTTCTGATGGAGAGTTTTTTCAAACTTATTGCACATTTCCAGAGTCCAGCAAACACCAGGGGGCGGTAAATTAGGAATTACCCTTTACTGGACATTGTCGTGTGTCAGGCATTGCTAAGGACAACAAAACTCCCCATTTTGCAGATAGGGAAATTTGAGGCTCAGGGAAGTTGGGCAGTATGTTCGAATTCTTTGGGATGAAACAGCAAAATTAAGTTCTGAGTATAGATCTAGCTGACGTACTTTTTTTTTTTTATAGAGGCATGTTTTTTATTATTTATTTGTTTGTTTGTTTGATGGTTTGTTTATACATGCACTGGGTACAGTCAGAAGCGCGGGAGAGTGAGAGAATTCACCAGAGCCAGAGCGGAGAACAGAGCAGGCAGAAGGACCGAAGTACACTGCTGAGGGGAGCAGCGGGCGGCAGGAGAGGTCTGCGCGCCATGTGGGACCCTCCTCCGGTGGCCGGGGAGCAGCCGGGGATCGCACCGGCGCCTCCGAGGCCGCGGGCAGCTTCGCAACCCAGCGCTCAACCGCTGCGCCACCGGGGAGGCCCTGACGTACTTTTTTTTTAAAGGCTTTTTTTTTTTAAAGATTTATTTATTTATATAAGAGCTGGGGTACAGGCCAGATGCGTGGGAGGGTGAGAGGACTCACCAGAGACAGAGCGGGGAACAGAACAGGCAGACTGAGAAATACACTGCTGAGGGGAGCAGCGGGCGCAACAGGAGAGGTCTGCTGCGCCATGTGGGACCCTCGCCTGCTGGCTGGGATCGAACCAGCACTGCAGAGGCAGCGGACAGCTTCACAGCACAGCGCTCAACCGCCTGCGCCACCAGGGAGGACCCTGAGGTACTTTTTTAATGACAAAAACAAGGCAGAGTTTTACTAGCAATGAAAAATGCAAGTTCAAAAGCTTTCAAGGTATTGCAATGTGAGTAACAATGGCTCGCGCTGGTGTCAGAAGGCTGGTGTGTTTGTGGGAGGGAACAGGTCGACTTTTCCCTTGCCACTGGGCATCATAATTGCTTCTCTCTTCAGGAATGCAATCTGGCAACACGAATCGCTAAATAAGTTCTTTGTCACAGAAAAGCCAGAAAATCCCCAATGCCAATACATGGTTCGAATTGTTTTTATAATGAAAATAAGACATTGTGATTAAAAAAAAAGAACAGTGATGTCTTAGTTCTGTAGTCAGCTATGAAGGGTTAGTTTTTCAGCTTGTCTTTATCTTACTATTCATTCACTTTATATTGCACATATTAGTGACACCATCCAAATACTCGGTTCTATTCCCTCAAAGGTCACTCACCATTGACAATGGTTTTGTGCATATGCTTCCAGGTGCCTATTGATTTTGTGCCCAATAATATGTAATTGGCTATGCCATCGATGTAGAGCGGCATGGTGACAGTTTCCTGGAAGTGAGGATAAGAAGCATTTATGTAGAAATCACAAAACACACTCACTGGAGCTGCATGAAAGTTGGCTGCCTGCACAGTGATAAAAATGGGAGGGAGTTGCATTTAATGTCATGTATAAGGCTGCTTTAGTTCACAGAAGGGGGAAAAAACCCCACTAAGTTGCCAAGTTGAGAGGAAGAAATCCTAAAATGGAGGCTCTGGTGGGGTGGCGAGAGGACTGAGCTGGCTGCTTGGGTGGCCTGAGGCCCAGTCCTGGCCATTGTGTTTGACTGTTCTGACTTACTACTAGTTTCCGAAAGCCTCACTGCAATGTGAGGGGCTTTGATAGGTGATCTCTAGGGACTGTTCCAATGGTCCCAATCACAAAGTCTGTGATCCTATAACAGTTAAACTTGGGGCTGGAAAAGCATACGGAAGACTATAGAAAGCTTGGGCAGGGTGGAGGGGAAACAGGATCCAATAGGCTGGATTGTCAGATGCCCTCATTCAGAGCAAACCTGGTTCTGTGTAAGAAGACAGCCCCAGATCTGAAAGACTCTAGAATCTGGTGCTCCTCTGGCTGACTGAAACCACCAGTTACATAGGCCAAAAGGTCAGCCTACTCTTTTTAAAAATGAGGGCCTGAAATCTTTTATTTTCTTTGCCCACATTTCTTCCCCAGATCACTGGGCTCATTTGATTGCCCCACTTCTTTTCCTCTGTGGACCTTCACTTTCATTCAGGCTTTTTATGATCTAGAAGTTTCCTGTGCCACAATAGCCAACACAATGGAGTTCAGTTGAACTAAACTTGTTGAATACCTATGGCATTCAAGACCCTCTGTTAAGAATCAGGGCTGGATTATGATTTCTGTGGACCTTACACACTAGTAAGATTTGTGCTTTGTGGGCAGAAGCTTCTCCAAGGCCGTGGACGGGGATCTGAAGAATCTGGATGATCCTATTGCCTGACTCATTCCTCTTCTGACTTTATATACCACCTAAGCCTGCAATGAAGGGAGTCTGCTATTTGATAGTAGCTTGTGAAGCTAGCCTCATTACCATCCAGTCACACCTTTGGGGCTCCCAGGTACAATAAGCAGAACGAACACATGTTCTAATAATTCTCTAATGTTTTCCAGTTAACCAAATTTGCCTCTGAAGGAAAGTTCTGGAAGGAGGTCAGCATGTATGTGTGTCGTGTATAAGCACACACATACACCTGAGTGTGCACCTCTGCATTCAAAGTCCCATCTCGAGTGATGTTTGCATCAGTCACTTGTTTCATTTCAGTTCTGCCTTTTCTTTTCTCCACCTCTGGAGATAATTGGGCATTGGCTCTAGTTTGCATTCCAATCCATAGTGGTAGAAATGACTCCAGAAGCAGGGCAATAACCCCTACTGTTGTGCACTGCCTTTATCTAGAGGACTTGAACACAAGCCTGCTTTTCTCTCTGTGTGCTTTTTCTTTTGTCTGAGACAGACTTGGGAGCATCAGGACCGGTGGGTGCACCACACAGAGTTTATACAGAGGGAAGACTGGATTCACAGCTTCCACTACATCTACCATGTACAATGGAGCCCCGGAAGCGCTCGGATACCAGTGCCACGAACCAGTGCCTCTGCCTTCTTCACCATCAAGATCACCAAAAGCAAACCTCCGGTAAATTTCCTTTTCCTGTCCTGTTCTCTTCGGTGAGACTTCAGTGAGAATGGAGACTTCTCTTGTCAAGGTCATTGATGACCCCTTCTTTGTGAAACTTGTTCTCATCTTGCTCGGCCATCTGTATAACTTGCCATAGCTGATCACTCCCTCCTCCAGAATTGCTGTATTTGACTTCTAGACCCTGCTCTCCTGAGTTTCCTCCTGTCTCACCACTATTCCTTTTCAGTCTCAACTGGTTTCTCCTCTTGCCAAACTCTTCATGTTGGAATGTCCCAAAAGTAAGGCCCCGAACCTCTGCTCTCTACTCATCTTCCTTGGTAAGATGAGTCACACCTCTACCTTATCATTCCCAAATTGCTATCCCTACTTCAGACCTCTGCCACTTCAATGTTTAATAAATACCTCACTTATTGTATCCAAAACTGTATCCTCTAATTTTCCTTTCCAAACACGACCTACCTACAGGCTTCCTATCTCAGTCAATGGCCAAAATCCTTGGCCACCATCTTTGACTCTTACATCCTTCATCCAATCCATCAAGAAATCCTGTTGGGGCCTCAAAGTCTGTGATCCTATAACAGTTAAACTTGGGGCTGGAAAAGCATACGGAAGACTATAGAAAGCTTGGGCAGCGGTTGAGCGCTGGGTTGCGAGGCTGCCTGCAGCCTCTGCAGCGCTGGTTCGATTCCCAGCTGCTCCCCGACCACCGGGGGAGGGTCCCACATGGCGTGCAGACCTCTCCTGCTGCCCGCTGCTCCCCTCAGCAGTGTACTTCGGTCCTTCTGCCTGCTCTGCTCCCTGCTCTGGTTCTGGTGAATTCTCTCATCCTCCCGCGCTTCTGACTGTACCCAGTGCTTGTATAAATAAATAAATAAATCTTTAAAAAAAAAAAAAAGAAATCCTGTTGGGGCCTCCCTGGTGGCGCAGTGGTTGAGCGCTGGGCTGCGAAGCTGCCCGCAGCCTCTGCAGCGCTGGTTCGATCCCCGGCTGCCGGCGAGGGTTCCGCATGGCGCGCAGACCTCTTCTGCCGTGCCCGCTGCTCCCCTCAGCAGTGTACTTCGGTCCTTCTGCCTGTTCTGCTCCCCGCTCTGACTCTGGTGAATTCTCTCACCCTCCCGCGCTTCTGACTGTACCCAGTGCTTGTATAAATAAAGAAATAAATCTTAAAAAAAAAAAAAGAAATCCTGTTGGCCCTACCTTCTAAAATAGCTCCTGAATCCAACAATTTATCTCTCCACTTCTACCACTCTGGTCCAAGACACCATAATTTCTCACCAAGATTATTTCACTAGACTTCTAAATAGGTCTCTCTGCTTCTACCATTGCTCTCCTCAAGTCGCTTTTCAAGATAGCAGCCAGCCACAGTGAGTCTTATGAAATGAATTTGTCGTTCCTATTTAAAATGTTCCAACATTCTTCCCAAACTTTAGAGGGCATGCAGATTACCTGGGCGTCTTGTTAAAAGGAAGATTCTACTTCAGTTCTACTTCAGATGTCGGGGGGTGGGGGGCGCTTAAGAGTCTGTGTTACTAACAAGTGCTTCGGTGATGCTGAGGCTGCAGGTCCGCACACTGCATGGGTAGTGAGGATCTACAAGGTCTTGTGTGATCTGCTTCTTTGTTATTTCTGATTTCCCAGTACTCCTTCTCTTTCATGGCTCTGCTCCAGTCACTCTGGCCTTGCTACTCCTCAGACAATGCAGATATAGTCCCATTTTTTTGCTAGCTGTTCCCTCTGACCGGAACTCTCTCCCCTAGGTATGGGCATGAACTGCTCCCCAGCCCCATTCCTTTTCCCTTCTTTCTGTAACACTTCACTGCCTTCTGATAGCCTATATGATTTATTATCCTATTATTGTCTGCTTCCTCTACCAGATGTAAGCTCCACAAAGGCAGGGATTTTTTCCTCTTGCTGTAAAACAAGGCCTGACAAATAGGAGACACTCAATGCATACTTGAAGGAATGACTACTTATAGCCACCAGGTAGATGAATATGAACTATGTTTATAACTGGTATGAAAGGAGCCAAAAGATCATCCATGAATCCAGGGTTAGATCCTCTGAGGAGCACGGTTGGTACCAAGCATAATGCCTAGGACACAGCAAACTCGAAAGTGTTATTACCCCTCTGCCTTCCCATCCATTCCCTGTTCATTTGAGGTTTGGTCTGACACTAAGGATTTATATCTTACTGCACAGTGAGCCTGCTGTGTCCTATATTCACCTTATCCTAAACTCACATATTCAAAGAGTTTGGAATCTGGAGCAATCTAAAGAGGTAAACTATGTGGCGTTCTCACTTGTGGTCAGATGTCCTGCCATCAACTGTCTCGCTTGCTAACTTGCTAGGTTGGAGGTCAGAAAGTAAGGCTGGTGGCGGTCAGCAAGACCATGACTAGAGACCATACAGAGAGAAGGCTCAGGAGAAGGTTCTTGTTCAGAATCTCTAATATAATCTTGGGAGGATTGGTAGGGATGACTGAGACAATATTACAACCTATATATGTGTATATATATATATTTTTAAAGATTTATCTATGCATACAAGAACTGGGGTACAGGCCAGAGGTGCAGGGGGTGAGAGGATTCACCAGAGAGATGGGGGAGCAGAACAGGCAGATGTACTGAAATACACTGCTGAGGGGAGCAGCGAGCAAGACAGGAAAGGTCTGCTGCACCATGTGGGTAGCTCCCTGGCCAGCAAGGGATAGAACTTGTGCTTCAGAGGCTGCAGATAGCTTCACAGTGCTGTGCTTAACCATTGTGCCACCAGGGAGGACCTACAACCTATATTTTTATGCTGCTTTAAAAATATTTCCAAACCTTGTTCATCCATATTTCATTCATTCCCATTTATTTTATGCCATTCCTAAGAGGTAAGTAGATACTGTTGCGTAAACTGGAAGAGATAAAGAAGGTATATGGCTTACACTCCTATTAACAAGGAACTTTTGTTTTCAAATTTGTGGATATTCTTTTTTTTTTCTTTTTAAAGATTTACTTATTTATGCATACAAGAGCTGGGGTACAGGCCAGAGGTGTGGGGGCGATGAGAGGATTCACCAGAGACACAGTGGGGAACAGAACAGGCATATTGACCGAAGTACACTGCTGAGGGGAGCAGCGGGCGAGACAGGAGAGATCTGCTGCACCATGTGGGTTGCTCCCTGGCTGGCCGGGGATCGAACTCATGCTGCAGTGGCTGGGGATAGCGTCATAGGTTGCGTCTTAACCCCTTGCACCTTCAGGGAGGCTCTTTGTGGATATTCTTAAAGTTACTATTGCCTAAAAGATCTTTTGGGGACCAGAGGTTTGAAAGTGACAAAGAACTAGCACCTACAGATTCCCAAATCATAAGATGAATTCTAGTATACATACACACACACACACTCACACTCAAACTTCTAGAATTCATCTTGGCATATATATATATATGAAGTAAAACATATATATATATATATATATATAAACTAAAGAAATGAAAGGAATGAAAGAAATTATGAGTTGGTATGATTGTTCTAGGCTGACTGGTGTCCTTTTCTCTCCTAGGATGCACCCATTGATGTCTCTTATATTTTTGAGGGCCAATCACTAGTTCAAAGGTAATGAACAGCTGGAGCTTTTTTTTAAAAGGGTGGTAGAAAGATTATTACACTCTCAGAATCCAAGAGGTCCACAGCCACAGACTATTCAAGTAATGGTCACTTTTCTTCTTTGGACCACCTACCCCACTAGAATGGGATGAAATTAGGATTCTACAGTTGTTTTAGAAAAAATTCTTTTCATTGTCTCATTTTTCAGTAATTAGAAACTTAAGCATTAGCTGCCAGAATTAGGTGGGAGCAAGGTGGGGCATGTCTAGTGTTTCTATGGAAAATTTAAAAATCACATGGAATTAAATCATGTATAATTCCCTTTATTTGCATGACAGCTCTCTTCAAGAATCTTTATATATAAGGCCATTATCTTTTTATTGATTGGATCTAAGGAACAGTAAAGAATAGCTAAGAGAGAAGAAACATTGCCTCCTACCACAAAAGGGTTTGTGCTCACTAGGAATGTAGCAGAGTAAACAGGGAATCAATCTCTGATCTAATGTTTTATTTCACTGTGAAGCTTACGGTGTGTTTTGTTTTGTTTTTTCCTTTGTAGGCCAGGAATGCTTCGATTTCGAGAAAACTGGCTGAGGGAAATTGTTGAGAGCAAACACATTTTACTGGAGTCGGTTCCTTTCTAATTCAATTGTATCTGATTCTTAAAGAATGTTTTAGGATTTCTAATTAGAATGCATTAAAAATATGATACTGCACACCAAACCACAGGATATTTATTGAATAATAAACTTGTGGCACATAATTCAGCTGTATTTTGTTTTACATTCATTTATTTTCCATTTGGCAACTTCCATCACATTAGCAGAGTGATCACTGAGTTGTTTTCTATTTCCCCATCACTATCTGCATCACTCAGAGACTTACAGGTACAGAGCTGAGTTTAGAGAGCTGCTTAAATTCACCTGTAAGACTAAAATGAGATTGGTACTTGGTTGTTTGTTGCCCCATCTGATCCTGTCTCCAGCTAGCATATCTCTTTATGGGCACAACTGGAAAACAGCAAAATGGCAACAATTCCACAGTTCATAATATAACCAGACTGGGGGGTTTCCTTATTCACAGGACTCTTTTATTTCCTGTGAGTTAAGCCTCACTGTTAAACAGTGCTTGATCTGAAACTCTTGAAATCGGGCATATTGCCAGGTGATTTGAGTGCTGGGGACAATGAAACAGAGACAGGATCAATCACCACCCTTACTTATTTCATGCTTTCTTCCCAGCCTCACACATGATCATCACTTGTTCTTACCATCCTTGTGAGGCTATCTTGCCTGGTTGCAAAGTTTTAAAATACCAAAGACAAAATCACGTTACGAGTAATTACTTACAGGTACGTCAGATTACATATTCATGGAAGCAAGCACTGGAAGGGAACACAGAACACTAAAGACAATTGATGTAGTAAGACTGTGGGTAATTTTTTTTAAAACTGTAAATTTGTACAATAAAGGAAAAAGGATAGAACATCTTATCAGAGCAACAGGCGAGATAATTCTTGGAGAATAAAAAATATATTTCAAATACAATAGCCCTCCCATTGGACTTATGGCTCAGGTGACTGAACACAGTTTGAAGGAGTAACTTTCATAAGCTGAAAATAAAATACTTTTAGCCCTTTAATTCTTCTCTCCTCTTTCCCAAAGAATATGCTACCGAAGCTGCTCTTTAGTACATCTTTCCCAAACAAATCTTGATGAAAGAAATGGTAAAGTTCTGAAATAAATTAATATATTTTCTTCTATTTACTCAACAAACATTTGTTGAGTATCTAATCTGTGGAGGAGACAGGAGAATTAAATGAAAATCCACAATATTCATATATCACCAAATTGTCACATTTAAACTACCTTGCTGACAGAAAATCAGAGAACAAACTCCTTCACTCTCTAGGAACTAGTAACAAAGAAGAATGTTCTCAGAGAACAATATCTTCAAATGGAAGTTATTCATTTAAGTTTTATTACACAGGGAAGTGGATGGATTAAGACTCACAAATTTGGGACCTAGTTTTCTTGAAACTTTTGGAAACAATAGATTTATTATGTTAGGCAAGAATAATGATAAATGAAAATCCACTTCAAATTTAGGGGTCACAAGTGTTGCTACATGCCAACTGGCTGTCCAGTTTATTAACTGTGGGTTAAAGGTAGATAATTTTCTAGAACATATGCTAAGTAGTAACATTTTGATCCATACATAGAAATATGATGGCCTTATTTTAAAACTTTGAGAAAAACTACTTTAAATTACTATAAGGAGAGAGAGCATTTTATAATAGCAGAATCAATTTCTCTATCATCCAGGAAATTAAAATTTATCCAAGGCATATAACAATAATGCAATTAAAAATAACCTTAACACAAATAGTCAAAATTCCATTTGTCCCCTTCCTTTTCACTCTTGTGACCCAGCTAAAATAGAACAAAATAAGGGAAGGAAAAAGATCATGGTCTCATGATTCCAGAATTCTCCTTTTCTCATAAACTTAAAAGTCAATTACCATAAAAATGTAATAAAGTAAGGGGGTTCTGTACAAAATGAAACATTAACCTGAATGACAGCTCTAAAAAAATAAACTGAAAGGTTTACCAATCTTTACAATGAAATATTATTACATAATGGCAGGCTTAAAACATGTTTAATATCATTTTTGTTTCATCCTTATGAAACAACTAAGTTAAAACAATGATTCATTGTATTTTTCCCTTTTAAATTCCGACCATTGTTAACTCCCATTCATTCTAGTATTCAAATAATGATCCAGATGGACCTAGCTTAGATGGAAAGCTAGGCACAGAGGCAGACTTCCCAATATTTTATATTTGAAAGAATCATTTTTAAGTAACCTATTAGGAAATTAAAAATATTAATGTTTACATTTTCAATTCAACTAGTCTGTGGGTTAGTTTGCTTTTTGGTTTGTTTGTTGGTTTGGGGGTAGAGGTAGGGCCTAAAACCAAAATAAATTATTTCCAGGGCAGACTATACACTATACTATACAAGTCAATTTTCAAATTCCTGATTTACTAATTTTTTTTTAATCAATGCCTTCATTTTGTTAACACAAGTATGTTTCTATCAAGTCCATTTATAACACTTTCAACATAGAGAAATGATAATTTCCCACAAGTTCAAATGGGGTTGGGGTGGGGCAGGCATCATGTAGAATTACCAGTAGCACTGTCCCATGGTGTGAGAGTTAAGTTTCTCATCTCGCTGATACTTTTTCTCAATGCTGCCACTCCCGATACAGTAGGATTTCATATATAACTTGGATTTTTAAACCAGAAAGTTATTATGGTCAATCCAAAATAACCCAAAGAACTTGCTAAAGTTCTATCAATAAGCAGCTTTTTCTTGAAGGACTGAAAGAATTAAATAGAAGGCACAGTAGCACTGTAAAGCTTTTTCAGATCATGATCATCTTTTTGAATGTATATATGGAACCCAGACTTTCTTTTTTTGTTGTTAAAAATGTCTGCTGAACAACCAGAAAATCCTTATTTGTCATCTTTCCCTTTAGTTTTTCTGTATACCATCTCTCGAAAACTGGCCAGAATCTTGTTTTCTCTCTTTCGCCTCTCTTCTTGGTTGAAGGACGCCAGGGCTCTCTTCTCATCAGCGCTGTAGATCTGGTTCTCCTTTCGCAGCCGCACAGCCTCCATTCGGCGATGCCTGGAGATCATTTTAGTTTTGGCTTAATTTCTTAGCAGTTATTCTCATAGTACTTCCTCACTAATCCTTTCTTAACAAAAAGTTTTCAACCGTTTTGTAAAAGGTTAGATTTTCAAGAGATCATTTTGTGTGCCACATCCTTTCGTTCATTTCTAGTATTCAGATAATGATCTGATTTCTGTCAATATAGTGAATGTTTTTATTTCACATATTGCGGTCATAAATCTAGTTCCAGTACAACAATAGAAATGGACAAATTATTAAACTAGGTGATATGTAGAATTTGCTTTTGTGGAATTGATAGAAGGGTAGATGAAAGATTTAGGTTGCCACTAATCAGGTGGAACTTCTTCAAGCTTCCAATTTACTATACAACCAAAATAACCAAGTCTAAGTCTACAACTGAATTTTTTGGTGAGTTTTGTGAGTGGATTTAACTTCCTTAGAATCCAGTAGCAGCTCAAAGAAAAGAAAGATGGAACTTAGGATAAATACCAAATCAGAAAAGTACAGGGGCAAAGGCAGCATCATCTTCAAAATGTCTGTTTATTTACAGGGAAAATCAGTTCAGGATGAAACGAGTTCTGTCTTAAAAATAGAGAAAACTAAGTAAAGAGAAGAGGAAAGAATCATTTCAGGCAAGTGTGAAGAGGGGAGAGTGGCAGGATGGAGAATCAAGAAGATAATGATGTATTTAGGTTGCTTAGAGGACAGACAGTGAGTAAGCAGTCTATCTGGACCAGAAAGTGCTTTGTGAACAATGCTGTAATAACTGCTATGTATAGATCTCTTAGCACATGGGAACAATTTTCTCTTGGTTACCTAGGTATGGAGTTGCTGGGTCCTAAAATATATGAATGTTCAACTATCCAAGATAATATCAGACTGTTTCTCACAGTGCTTGTACTAACTCATATGACTACCAGCAATATTTAAGAGATCCTTAAGTGATTTCTTAAATAGATCCACACCTCTCTAATGCTTACAGTTGTTAGAACTTTGAGCTAGAAACTATCAAATGGGTATAAAATGGTATTTCAGTAGATGGTCTTGATTTCCATCTCCAATGATATTGAATATCTTTCATGCATGTAGAGGCCATACATAAACTTTTCTTCTGACAAATGCCTGTTTGTGCTACTGTACCACTCTTTCTTTGGACCGTTTATGGTATTCTTCAAACAGCCTCAACACTAACTCTTTATCAGTTGTGTGTACTGCAAGACCTTATCCCAGCTTGGAACTTGATTTTTACTTATTTTAAGATGTCTTGTGATGAACAAAAAGTCTTACTTTTAACGTAGGCAAATTTATCAATATTTTATGGTTAGTGCATTTTTTTCTTTAAGAAATAATTCCTCACTCAAATATCTAATAATAGATACCTACTCAATTTATACTAAAAGTGCTAAAGTTGTTTCCTGACATTTTAGTCCTTAATCTAGCTGCACAGATTTTTAAATATGGTGATATAGGGCTTTCCCTTCATCTTTTCCACATGGATAATCTCTGTTTTCCTGCTGCAATTACTGAGTACCTCCTTCTTTCCTTACTGTTCTCACCTGCCAAAAACTCTTTCATATACTTGTATGACTTTGCCCTGGGCTCTATATTTTGAATTGTTCTTCTGAACAATTCATTTGTTCCTACATGCTTTCTAAAGTGCTGCGAGTTTCATAATAAGTCCTTATATCTGGAAGGGCAGATCTCATTTTCTTGCTCTTCTTCACAAGTCATCTGGCTATTCTTGCCCCTCTAGTCTAACATACTAATTTTAGTATCATCTTATTAAGTATTATGAAGAATTCTGCTATGATTTTGACTGGAACTTCACTGAATCTATAGATCATTTTGGTAAGAACTGACAACTTTTCAATGTTGTCTTTCCATTCATGAAGATGGTATCTATTTATTTAGGACTTCTTTACTGTCTCTTAATAATGTTTTACAGTTTTCCTTGTAGAGGTCTTAGACATTTTTTGGCGAAGATTTAGTCTTAAGTCTTTTATATACTCTGTTATGATCATAAATGTTTTAATTACAAATTACATTTTAGTGGTTTGTTGCTGATACATAGAAATGCAAT